GAATTGTAAAGGAGAAAAATGTCGGTCCTAATATGCTTAAATACACAATGGAAGAGGACTACATGCTTTCTTATGGAAGAAGGCCATATGATGAGATGAGGTCAACTCATGAAAATAATTCATGGACTTTGGTTGATCTTCCTCTTAATAATAAACATATTTGCTGTAAGTGAGTCTTGAAGAAAGAAATTAAAACATATTGAAGTTTTGATTAGTATAAATCGAGACAAGCAACCAAAGGTTATAGTAAAAATAAGGGCTAGATTACTTTTGAAACATTTTCACTAATGGCTAGTTTTACATCTAGTAAAATTATGTTTGATATTACAGCACCCATCTCATCTTATCTCATTATATTGTGACAATAAAGTTGTGTTTTACAATACTTAAAATGAAATATTATCAAGTCATAGCAAACAAATTGAAATTGTTATGAGATATAATCTTGTGAAAAGTGTTATGAAAAATGAAAAGGTAGAATATTTACCTATTAATGTTGGTTGACCTCATAACAAAACCTTTACATAGAAAAAATGTTGAATAAAGTTTGAAGTATACCAGTAAGATGAAGTGATTATGTTTGAAACCAACTTCATTATTGTGATGTTTATACAAAGACATCTTTAATTAAAAGTTCAGTGCACAAAAGCTTAATGGCAATTCATACATGAGTTACACATGAAATTTTAAGAGAAGGTGTTACATTTATAGTGCACTTTTTTATTTAAGGAATTGTGGGGGTAATGAATTGCATACATAAAATAACTATTCCTTAAAGTCCCTTACCTAAAAAAGCACATTGCTTATTTATAACAAAGAAGCTTGAACATTAAAGTTCTTAATAGACTCATAGTTTACTTAAGTGGAATGGAAGTTATGAACATTCTTCATTAGTCTACGTATACCAGTAAGAAGGTTAGGCTACCTTCTATAGATTATATCAATTAATCTTAGAATAATTGTTAGAACAAGATTAGCACATAGCTATTTTATATCTGCAATTGTCATGGTGGAACTTTGAGTTCATGTATAATGTGAATATGATTCTTTCACATTTTATATTCAATCCAAAAGTTCAAGCTTTGGCCACCTTTTAGACATGCATTATGCATTGAGAAGATATTTAATATTATTATTAGAAATTATGTGAGCGATGGTTATATATATATATTGATAGATATATGTATTTTTAAATAATAATAAAATAATGTTACAAAACATATTATATATTTATATAGAATTTTAATATATATACTGTCACGCCCCAGAACCTAAATCCAGGGACGTGGCAGACGCTGTACACTCGTGAGAGGGTTCCACAAATGCACAAAGTTCGGAATTTATCAAATTCACATCTGACAATCCAATAACTTAAATAATATATTTCAAATTAATTCTATGTCCAACACTTAAAGCTCAAAATCTGAAGGTCAAATCTATCTTACAAAAGCATGATTTATTTCTAAAATCTATATCAATCTCGAAATGACTAGCCTTCTAACTCGTCACTTCTTGTGGTTTTCTCGTTTTCGGTTTCGCTTCCTGAAATGGTGGACAAGGAAAAACTATGAGATAAACTCCAGTAAGTAAATTATGGAGTGCCCCTTATTAAACTTATAGTATGCCAACAAGTGCAATCACGAAAAACGGATACAGTACGGGAACAAAATAGACGTCTCCTCTATAGGTCATGGCCAGTGTTATAAACCTCCCACTGGCAGGCTACACTATTTGCTGGTGTATAATCTCCACTTGCAGGGTCACTCGAATGAACCGGTTCTATCAATAATATGTCAACATGTGCTAGCGTTTAAACCTCACTAGCAGGATCATTAATAACATAACCACATCGGAGACAAAACAAGCAGAAGTTAACAGAAAAATCATAATTCACCAATCACTTTCAAATCATCAGGACAATCAATTAAATTTCAAGTAGGCATGCTCAATTTAATGAAAAACATAAAATTTCACTTCAAATCAATCATACTTACTTTTGCATAAAACGGGTTTAGTGCCGCCACCACTTTAAAAAGAAGTCAAAACATGCTTTTAAAAACTATACGGGTATTACCATAAATTTACTTACCTCAATCACATAAATCGAAGATTGAATTTCAGTACTAAACTGACAAAACGATCAGGAACCTAATCAAAATATTCAAGAATTAATTATCGTACCACGGATTCAAAAGTAAAATCACCATGACTACCCCCTAATCACGATGCTATTCCTATCAATCTCTACATGACCAGACCTCTTCAAATTTGTTCTTATATTATAAACTAAACATTTAAATCTTCGTTAATTGTTGACCATTAGTGTGTGAACAATATCTGTGAACAGTACCCGTAAACAGCACTCGTGAACAGTATCATAAACAGTGCTTATGAACAGTACCCGTAAACAGTAACCGATATTTCCGGAATTCAACTACAGCCAGCTAAAAGACCAGAAAAATGGATATTTCATCCGATTTTTTAGAGCAGAAACGGACTGCAAAGGAGCAGAAAACAGTAGCAAATTGCAGAATTTTCTGCGTGAATAGTAACTGGTACGCGTGAACAGTAAAATCTTTGGCAAAACAGCAGGATTTTCACGCAGAACAGCAGCTAAATTTCAAGCCAAAACAGGTTTATTTCTACATGAACTAAGCCCAACAAAAACACGTTTAAAGGCTGCTAATTTCTTCCCTTATTTCGGCAGAATTTGAACAGTACAGGGGCAGCAATTACATGGATGATTTCAGCAATTAAATGGGTGAAATTGGACTTAAGGAAGCTGTCAACATACCAGAATTTTCCCAGCAAGCAAGGCTGGAGCTGGCGGGTTTGGGGAAGAGCCGATGGGATCTGCAGGGGACTCACGACTACCAAAAATTGGAGAACCAAAAGCACAAATTAGAGTAACCCAAGTTAATTTAAGGCTAAAAAGAGGAGACCCATGGCTATTCTTACCGAAAAAGCCCAGAAATTTGCACCCACAATCAAGAGCAACCAGCGGTGAGGAAGGAAGGAGCAGAGCAGATCCGGGATTCTGCATAGGGGGGAAAGTTTCCAAACTTAAATCTTGTTCTTGAACAAGAAAAGAAGGATAAAATCAAGCTTCTTAACGGTTTCTCAAAGGCTGGTGCTGGCGGCTTGGAGGGGCTTGTCGGGAGGAAGATGAATAGCAAAATCGGGCTGAAGAAGAAGGAAAGAAGGAAAAGAAATAGCTGATCCTTATCCAAATTTTCCCTCTTTAAGTCCCTTAAGTTTGGATATTTTCACTATTAAGCCCCAAAACAATCTTTTCCTCACAATCAAGTCCTTAACTAAGTGCTAAATACCACAAAATTTTGGGGTATTACATATATATATATATATATAAGTATATATAATTAGGAACAAGGATGGGATAGAGGAGGAACTAGGAATAAAAAGTAAAACAAAGAGGAAAAAGATAAAATGATTTGTACAGGAGCAAGAGACCAATATTGTAATAGTTATCTTGTTTTACCGTATAATTTAAAATTTAAATATTAAATTTTAAGAAAGACGTCTGTTCTTCTTCAAAGGTTGCGTTTCTTTGAAGTTTGCAAAAGTCACCAATTGGAGTATATAGGTAAACAAGATATCACCAAAGATAAGATCGTTTTCTTCTACATTTTTTTTCTTGGGCATATTGGCTTTAGGTGATTAAACACTCCTAGAAATTTAACTTTTTCCAACCAATTATTTTTCAATAATACATTATTTTCCAGCACTTGAAGTTTGATAGAAAATATCTAAAATTTACAAATAATTTTCAAATGAGACTCATTTTCCAATGTTGAACGCTAGAAAATAATTTAGTGCCATAATTTGGTTTGGCACCTTCTTATTTTCCAGTGCAGAGCGTTGGAAATAATGTTTTTTTTGCTGCTGATTGAAAAAATTTTCCTTTTTTTCCAACACAAAACACTAAAAAATATTTAAAATTGTCAAAGTTAAATAGTAAAAATGAGGTGTAGGTTATTTTCTAGTGCCAAGTAGTGGAAAATAATCCTACCCAAATTGTATAGGTTATTTTCCAGTGCTTGGCGTTGGAAAATAAGGTAGAAATGGGGTATAGGTTATTTCTCAGTGCTAATCTTGCCCAAATTCTACAAGTATTTTTCAATGCTTGATGTTAGAAAATACTCTTGTCCAATTAAGTCAATTGATTCAGGTTATTTTCTAGTGCTTGGCATTGAAAAATACTCTAGTTTAATTGAATCAAGTTATTTAGCGTTGGAAAATAAGTTTATTAAGAAATTTATGAACCACATATTTAAATATCTTTCTTTCCAAAATATAAAATCCTGCCTATAATTTTTTTTCAATTTTATTTAAAGGTTAAAATCCAGTGTTCAAGTGCCATTTTTTCATTGTAAAATTTTCAAAATCCCGCTCACATTATTTTCCAACATTGAGCCATGAAAAATAATACTTATCTATATAAACTTCCAACCTTTCCTTAGGATTTTCTCCCATCTTCTTCTTTCTTCTCTTTCATTTTTCTCATCCCTTATCCGAATTCACTTTCATTTTTCTCCTCTCTTCCTTTACCCCACTCATATATTTCACTTAATCTTCGCTTTCCTCTTCTCTTTGTTTCCTCTTCCTTTTCCTTTTCCTTTTCCATTTCATCTTCATTTCTTCTACTTTCCTTCTTGCTTTTCTCTTGTTCTCTCCATTCCTCTTCCTCTTCCTTTAATATTTTATTTGAAATAAGAGGTACCATTCATTTCAATTTATTGATTGTATAATTTGAAATTTTCTTTATATTTTTCTTTATCAATAAACTCTTATATATATTACTAATTTATTTATTTTATATATTTCAAGTATTTTTATGAATTACATGAAATTGAGGTATATTTATGTATTTAATTTCATTTATTTTTGTCAATATTTATTATATTATATGTATTATATAATGTTTTACATAAGATTATGTTTATAAAGTAAATATATTAAATATAAGCGCTGGAAAGTAATGGCTATATATCCCTCTAAGATAAGAACTATTTTCCAGCGTAGAATAAGTGGTAACAACAAATTAAAACATATTATGAGTTTGTTGTTATCCATTATTTTCCAGCGTTGAGCGTTGAAAAATATTAATAACTTTTTTCAGCGCATTTTTTTTGCGCTAAAAAATAACTATTTGGCATGCATTTTTTTTCCATCAACATTTTCTAGTGCAGAATAGCCTTTTTTGTAGTAGTGAAAGTTCATTTTAGTGGATATTGTATCCCTGGGTATCCTTGGGATAACGTTTTTTTATAGAGAAGTAGAAATTATTATCTTTAAGAAAGGTACATAGCTAGAATTGCCTTACCTACAAATTGCATTTGTAACTCTTTGCATACAACATAATGATCAGAAGTGACAACCAAAGTGTTAAACATTAAATGTGAGGGAGTGATTTACAAGCTTTAGTAGTGATAGATATTTGATGATTGACATATGTTTATAGATTATTGAGGCAGAAGAATATGGAAGACACTTGGAAGCTCGGGTCTTGCATGTAAAGGACCAAATAGTCAATTAAAGGCTAAGTGGTCTAATTTAATAAAGAGAAATGCACCAATACAAGAAATTGATTGTTTGATTTAAATTCCTTGATATTTTGGCGCATTTGGAAGACATTTTAGCCATTTATTTCTAGCTAAAAAACAAGCCAAATAAAGGGAAGGACAATGGAGAAAATGGGGGAAATTGTAGTGTTTTTACCCTTGTGTGCTGTTTTGGGGAATTGTTTGATCCACACTAATCAACTGTTGTATCAAGTTGAAGTGAATCTTCAAAGTAAATAGTCACTTTTTTTATTTGAAGTTCTCTAGCATATGACCTAAAGTGCAAAACAGACGTTCTAGTTTGAGTGGTTTTGCTTAAAATCACCTAGAACAAGTCATGTTTAGCCTTCTTTTGTCTAAGTCATGTTTAGCCTTCTTTTGTCTAAGCCAAGTGTAAGTGAAACTCATAGAAGTGGAAGTCAAAACATAACAATATGGACAACAAAATATCTAATGGTTATAACTTATAACAATGCCCAAAATGGCTCACATGCTTTATGAGTTACACAACACGTTATTCACATCAATTGGCACTTATAGCCCAAACTTCATAAAAACATATAACATGCAGTGGGATCAAGCCATGAAACCTCAATTCATTAGTATTGATAACAACACTCAAGATGAATTGGAGCTTATCCCAACACCTTACGAATGATATGTAAGCAATATGACACTACCACCTAATGACATGCTCTCAACACAACTAGTCACTAGGTGACATTCATTTAGCATGATGCCATCACTTGATGACATGCATTTAGCATGCATGACCTTGTGGCATGCACTTGGCATGACTTTCAATCACATACAATCATACTTATCCAATGACAATGCATTCTTTGAATCTTTACTCACATCACATTACGTTCATGCTAATCACAAATACAAATCAACTTAATTACATTTCACAAACAATGCTTAAATCTTAGTCAAAATGGCTACTTGGGTATCCACAAATGGTTATGTATTTTACTTAAAGATTTCATTTGTTAACATACAAATAATTCATTTGACACATCACATTAAATCAAAACATAACATATACTTTTATATCATAATGTTAGAGTGGATCATACAATTTTTTGAAATAGTGCATATGGGGAAAAATACTACATATTTTTTTGGTTAGAAATAAATGGTTGAAAAGTCTCCCAAATGCCCCAATATATTAAGGAATTCAATTTAAACAATCAATTTCTCCTATTGGTTCATTGCTCTGAATTCCATTGGACCACTTGGTCTTTAATTGACTATTTGGTCTTCTTCATGCAAGACCCAAGCTTTCAAGTGTCTTCAATACTCTTCCACAATAATTTATTCAAATATATCAATCTTCAAATATCTATCACTACTAAGGTTTGTAAATCACTCCCTCATATTTAAACTTTAATCCTTTAGTGCTCACTTCTAATCATTAAGCATAATTCACTTTCACAATCTACTTTAGATTAGGGGCCGAAGCCTTTGAAGGTGTTTGATGTGTGGCTTAAGATGCCAAATTGTAAAGAATTACTTTTTAAGGTCTAGAATATTCGTAATATATAGGGGTAGAAAGGTTTTTATCTTAAAGAAAAATTTAGAAATCTCAAGAAAGCATTGAAGTTGTGGAGTAAGGTCTAGTCCAGGAGGTAGATGAAAAGAAAAGTGAAGATGAATGAGGAATTGCCTAGATTGATTTGAAAGGAGACAACCAGGTGCTTGATGTAGGATAGATTGAAGAAAGCAAGATAACTTTTTTCGATTTGTGGGGCAATTTGAGAACCAAGGAAGGTATTTGTCGATATAAGTCTATGAAGAATTGGTTAAGGGAGGGTGACACAAATATAAAATTTTTCTATAAAAGTGGGAAAGGTAGATGGAGTAAGAATGAAATAAATTGTATACAGATTAATGGACGAAAGCACATCAAAGTGGTTGAAATAAAGGAAGGCATAGCCACCCATTTCGAAAAACTATTCAAAAAGGAGGATTGACAGAGACCTCTTTAAGATGGTGTTCAATTTTGCTTTCTATCACAAGATAAAGCGACAACCCTCACAATTCCTTTAGTGAAGAGGAGATCAAGAAGACAATTTAGGATTGCAAAAATAATAAAGCACCAATACAGGATGGATTTAATTTTGGATTCATCAGTTCTAGTCAATGGCAGTGTTACAATACAATTCAGTATTAGTTATGGCCACAAGCAAGGGGACCCTCTATCTTCCTTGTTTTTTATGGTAACAGCATGGGTAAATGGCATATTTTCTCATGTTGTTTCAAAAAGGCTGTTTGAAGGGGTTCATGTAGGTCGAAATGGGTTAAAGATATCACAGTTCATAGCTTTAGTTTGTAGACAATACTATTGTTTTTGGGAAGGTTATGGAGGAAAATAATTGGGCAACAATATGCTTGATGGGAGTCTTTGAACTAATTTCAGGCTTGAAAATAAATTATTAAAAGAGTCAATTAATGGGGATTAATCTAGTGGATGAATGGCTACTGAGTACGGCCTTTTTGTCGAATTATAAATCTGGTGATGAGCCATTCAAATATTTGGGAGTTCCAGTTTGAGGGAATCCAAGAAGTCAGATAATGTGGAAGCCTCTAATAGAG